CGGTAACAACCCCTTTTGAGGCGGTAACAACCCCTCAGCATTTTTTTTATGCATTAACCTTATTGGGGTGGCAAAACAGTTTTCCAGCACTGCTCTGCATCTGATCTTGCTGCACAGTCAATAAGTTCAGATGGCGTAAGGCCAACAGGGACAGACGGTCTTTACGGGCAGTTTTTTTCCCCGATACCCCAATAGAGATTTTAAAAGGTCTTATACCCTTTTTGTGCCGCCATGGGGATCGAAGGGGAACGATCCGTAGCAGCTGCCACTGTCTTAGTAGGCGTTGCCATCCCGGACGAGCCCCCAAATTGTCGGAGAATAACAGCGTTCTTACTCTTTTGGGTACAGCAAAGTTAGATACTTTACTTTTTTTTTTGAAACAGCTGTGTAAAGGAAGAGAGTGCACTAGGACACAGGGTCTCCTCCTCCCAGGCAGGTCTCTTCACAGGTAAACAATTACAGCAAACATTTATACCTTTTGTTACAGACAATAATAAGCAACAGCTGCATTTTGTTTATACATTGGTCACTTTGATATTTTGGTTTTTTTACTTATGTAGACTTTTAGTCTACATTTCATATTGTTTGCACATTATTTAACATTATTTACACAAAGTTGCAACAACTTTTTACACAGTTTTTTTTTTTACTTGCCTTGCACAATTTTTGCTTTTACAAATTTTGCATTATTAAAATTACAATTAGCCTAACTTTTGCTAGCAAACTGTTATACATTGCAATTCCCTTTTGGTTAGTTTTTTTTTGCTTCCACAATACCATTCAAGAACGTCTGAGGGGGATGGGAAGAGATAGTAAAAGAGTAGGTACACCACTACCTCAATATAACGCTGTCCTCGGGAGCCAAAAAAAATCTTATCGCGTTATAGGTGAAACCGCGTTATATTGAACTTGCTTTGATCCACCCGAATGCACGGCCCCGCCCCCCTGGAGCACTGCTTTACCACGTTATATCTGAATTCATGTTATATCGAGGTAGCGGTGTAGCAGTATGTCCATTTAAACAGGGTACCGTTACTGTAAAAATAGGTACACTTTATCCAATAAGCTTAGCATTTCATTTGCAATGTTCTGAGAAGAGACTAACTGTGTATGAATTTTAAAACTTAAAAAAAAATTAGGATTTAATTAAATAAGAAACTGCATTTGATCTCTACTATAATATATCGAACTGTCCATTAAACATTTCAATTTTTTACTTTTATTTTTTTCCACCTGATTCAAAACTCAGTCTTTTTAAAGTGAGGTGTTGCGGACTATTGAGGCTCAGACGAAATACAACCCTGACTCTTCAAGCAATAAAAGGAAAAAAGCTTACTTGAGATTTATATACACAAAAGATGATCAGGAACAATGAGGGACAGCAGACTGTAATAAAGGAATGAGAAATTTCTTACCTGATTATTTCTGTTAGTAGCTTCTCTCTGAATTCATTACTCCTGGGCCAGTGCCCCCCACCTGTGGAATTCAGAGGTGGTCCAACGTTGTTGCTAGAGGCTCCAGGACTAGGCTCCACCCTTCAGCTCAGACCACAGGTGTAGAACTTTATTAGCATTAAGACACCTTGATATAATGTATTAAATTAACCTTAAGACAATATATGTTTAAGTCTCCCTTTAGAGAAAATTTTAAATTTAATATTCTGGTATCTCACCGGACTACCATGGTGGGTTGAAATCAGAGAGAAGTTGCTAACAGGAAAAAAAAACATTCAGGTAAGAAATTTCTCCTTCTATTGCACAGCTTCTCTCTTATTCATTACTCACAGGAAGTAGAGAGCAGTGAATCCCAGAAATAGGGAGGGAAAGGATAAGCAGAGTTTAATAATTATAGTAGAACAACAGGCAGGAATGGAACCTGCCCCCATATAAAGCAAGAGCTTTAAAAACTAAGGAGTAATGTGGGAACCAACCTAGGAGCATCTTCATACCAAAGGATGCCTTTGCAGAGGAATAGAAACTAACTTAGCTAATCTTTGTCAGTTGAGGCTCATACACTTTCCCCCAATGCCTCTAGGGACTTCTGTGAATAGTTTCCCAGAAGCCTACCATGCTTGCCCACAACAAGCTTGAGGCCCTAAAGCCTTGGAATTTTGGATAGAATGAAATGAACAGGATACAACCCAGTCTGAATGAAGGAGTTCTTGGCTTCAAGAGCTCTGGGGTTTTCTGCAGGCACAATGTGGGATCCCTGGCTATCTAGCATGTCCAAAATGCCGTCTTCTAGGTTAGTGCAGGTCTAGGAGGAAGACCCCAACTCTCCTTCTCCCGCTTTCCTGTATTCTTTGTGTAAACTGTCTTGAAAGGTAGCAGACTCTTTTCTACCAAGAACATTATTTCCACTGCCAAGGAGAAGCTTTGTCCTCTGGTTATTCCCTGGTTTTGGAAGGGATAACACACTTATGGCCTCAATCATAAGCCAACCTTAGGAAGAGGCGACTTCTGCGAGTATCATAATTGCCCACTACCATGGTTTCTTGCACCTTCTACTGGTGCAGCTGGTACTGGTCACTGTCAGAAACAAGATACTGGAGTAGATGATGATCCCCTGTGTCCATGTTTGCATGTCCCCCCCTCCCCTTTTTTGTTTTTCTTTCTTCCAGCCACACCCTGATAGAGAAGTTGAAATGAACTAACAGGATGTGTACTATAAGATTTTGGAAATTTGTCTCCCAAGCATGCTTGCTTCTATAGTGAGTACACAGGGGTCTACAGTGAAAATTAGGTTGGCTTTCAGCATATTGTTTGAACTTACCTGCCCACAAAGGGGTACTGGATGTTATCTGAGAATAACACCTAATTTAGCATCGCATCAAGTACATGATTCTATGTCCTCAGAAGGAACTTCAGCAGGTACATTTTGAGAAAAACACACTCAGTGGAGGAAGTCAATGCGCAGCACCAGCAATCCTACCCATTTGAAATAAATTGGCTACTCATGACCCCTCAGGAAATGACTGATAGAATGAAGCTTTGAATCTTTGCAAATGTTTACCATTTTGGTACAATTACAGCCAGATACGTGTCTGTTTTGACCTTTGGTTGAGATATTCTCTGCATTGGGATCAAAAGCTCCTCTTGATTTCCAAGAACTGGTGGCTATGAATCCTTTCCAGCAACTGTTCATTTCTGAATGGGTCTGTTTCTCTGGACAGGGTACTGATTGGCATGTTGCCTATTCATGGGTAAAGGTGCACAACGTGCAATCTGTGCCTTGCTGTGACTGCCACCAGCCACTTAAGAGGGTGCAGAGGGCAGATCAGAAGAAAGTCTTGTACAGGAATTGTGAGCTTGTATATGCAAACACTCTTTGCCTTTGTCACACGGAGGATTTTGTTGGTCTGGAAGAAAATGTATCGAGATTTCCTTTGAAGCGTCTGCTCTAGATTTTTTCCCCGTGTCAGAGTAATAGTCCCTTCCTGGATACCCTTGATATTGGTAGTAACCAATGGTTGCTATGCTGGCTTGGACAGTGATGGCTGACACCTCTGTGCCATCTCAGCAGCACAGCCCGTAAATCAGGATAATTTTGAACAAGGGCAGAGATGTTACCCTGCTGTAATTCCACAGAACTGCAACTTTGTGAGCAATGGAAACCTCAGGGTCATAGGCTCCCTGAAGTGCTCAAGGCTTTAAGCCTTGTGAAGACAGCCTTCGGAGCGCTGGAGAGAAAGACCCTTTCCCACCTTTCAGAGTCTGAGCCCCTTTCTCTGGCTGAGCAGGGTTTATGGCGGATGATCAGAAGACAATTTCCTTTCCACTGCTGCCTCAAATCTGAGCCCCTTTCCCTGGCACAGCGAGGGTCCTTGGGCTGAAAGCCAGACAGGCACAATTTCCATTAGGGTGAAACCTGAGGCAGGGCTGCACAGGCTTCTTCGCATGCCCACAGATGCTGCAGGGTGTGGAAGGGGCAGTGAGCATGGTCCAGAGCACTGAGCAAGAGATTTGATAGGAGAAATCCCCAGCAAACCCTCCCTTAGGGGAGAAGGGGTTTCACCTCTGATTTTCACCTCAGTCATTTATTAACAATATTAACTTACTGCCTTGTGAAGGCAACACTTGCTTTTGCCTTTTTGAGAGTCTCTGCGTTTTACAGGACTTATCCCAGAGTATAATGAGAATCCTCCCAATTCATAAAGGGAGGATGGGGAGCTGTGCAGGAGCCCTGTTTCTTCCCCAGTGGAGCAGAGGACCCACTTCAGTATCTTGAGGGCAGGCGGCGGATGACACTGGATCCTTCAAGGCTCCTCCTCCTCCCCAGCCTAGGTCTATTGAGGGCCCTGTACCGGCCAGATAGTTTCCTCCTCGTCCTTAGACCCTCTCCCCAAAAGCTCAGAAGCTCCTGATCAGGCTTTTCTGCACTGGAGTCACAGCTTCTAGGGGCAGGATAGGTCTGCCAACATGCCAGTCTGACTCTGAGCCTCATGCCCTAGCAGCGCAAAGTTTGGCTGGCTGGCAGGCAACAGGAGGGCATCATTCATCCTCTGTAGAGCCTGAAAAGTGCTGCCTCATGTAAGGCGCTCCGCTTAGATTTAGCCAGGTGTTTGCAGGACAGCTCTGCCACGCCTGAGTGGGAGCAGAGGGGCCTGGCAGAGGGCACTACAGCAGCAGATCCAGGTGGCTGAAACTATCTTGCTGCTATTTACCCAATGCCGGGAAGATTATAAATCACAACTGCACAAAAATGAATAAAAAACAAAAACTAAATGGCCGGGAGAAACCGAACTGCCAACTTGTTCCACCGCTGGAAGCAGAAAATCTGGTGTCTGTCTGAGCTGAAGCCAACAGTGGAGCCCAGTCCTGGAGCCTCCAGCAACAACATTGGACTGCCTCTGAATTCCACAGCTGGGGGCACTAGCCCATGAGTAATGAATGTGGAGAGAAGCTGTGCAGCAGAAAGTTGATCCAAAACACAAAACATTTGTATTGTCTGAAGCCATTTACTTTCCTGAGATTAAGAAAAAATAAAAATAAATGACCTACCTTCACCGCCAAGAAGTTGAGGCCACTTTCACTGGCCAAAGCTTTCGCTATCATTGTTTTTGAGCATCCAGGAGGTCCATAAAGTAGTACTCCTTTGGGTGGCTGAATCCCCATTCGGATGAAGGATTCAGGATGCTTGAGGGGCCATTCCACCGCCTGCTTCAATTTCAATTTGACAGTTTCCAGTCCTCCTATGTCTGACCAGAGTACCTACAAAGCAGACCATTTTGCTGAATTCACACATTAGCACAGAATGGAGGGTTGTATAGAACCATGGCATCTATCTCCTTTTCAATAGGTTTATTTCATGAAGTTTAAAAAAAAAAAAAAGTGCTTTAAGTTTTAAAGCCTTTTAAATTAAAACAGGCAGCATCTGATAAATTATCAGTAAAGAAAAAAGGGAAAATGGTGATTTACATAATGAAAAGGAGGAAAATTTTTATATATTGAGCATCTATTTCAAAAATGAATAACTGCTGTTATCCAAAAATACAACCCAGTATCAATACTACCATCCACAATCTATAAACTCTGCAGGATCATTAGATAATTCCCATCGTTTCAATTCCTATGTGTGTGGCATTTATATATGATTTGTAAAGTACTTTGGTATCCTTCTAGGGGAAAATTCTATATAAAATTAAGAGGTTATTATTTCCATCTAGCACACTAAAGAAATTTATACTAGGTGCAAGTTGTCACGTAGTAGGGACTACTAGCATGCATATGTGTTTGAAGGATTGAAATGGTTTAAATCACTTTGCAACGATATTTATTCCACCCTGGACTTGTGCACTGGAGATTTAACTAGTATGTTAAAAAAATACTGGATGAGTATTTACATATTAAAGATTAAAATGTAAGGAGTAACTGCAGTTGGAGTTGCTGTGCTAAAGATGTGAGGCAGGTGCATCATGAGTAAAAGCACAGACACCAACAAATGTATACCACTAAATAGAATGGAGGCTATTCAAAATGGTGGGTAAAATGAGCCATACCTTTTCTTACAGAGTTGTGAAGAAGACTGATAATTCCTTGTATTTTCTATGTTTGCAATAAGTGGTCTGCCATTATGCCCCCCCGCCTCTTTTTTGTCAGCATCCATTCTACTCTGCTTTAGATATTAAAGATATCAAGTCTCCACAATAAGAGGCAATTGACTCAGATGACCTTATGTTTTGAGATGACGTTCTCCTAAAATAGGTAGTCTTCAAACACAGGCAACAGATTTACTGGCTATAAAATCAGGACTCCCCTCTTAAGATTCATCTGTGCTTGACGGAGGTAGACACAAGGATGGGGAAGCAGAAAGAACAAGGACTGTGGAGAAAGATGTGCCTGACTGGGAGTGCTGGGGGAAGAGATTAATTCATTTGGAGGAGGGAACCTAGCATATATCATCGTTATTCCTGACCTAGAAAACTGTCCCCCTCCCAGGCTACCGTAATCAGGTGATCTCACTCAATTACATCGCCTTCCTAGTGCTATTTGTCTGATATCTCAACACTGGAAACTAAAAATGTAATGTTACTTCTGGGTAAAGCAATGTAGCCTGAGAACAAGCATCAGCAGGGTGCTTAAGAGGAATAAGCAAACCTAGAACAAATGAGCAAATTCCAAATCAAATAAAAATGTCTATTTGGCGGTCTTATTTTAATATATGACAAAATAATATATGTCTGAAAAAACAAAGAAGATCCACACATGGGGCATCCACTAAAAAGTGAGCTGAGCTGAAAATGCTAATTGGAAAAGTAAGAAGCTGAGGATCTGCTGCCACCAGAGCATGTAGGCCATCATGCTAAGAACATCCACAGGAAAATATTACAGGAGCCCTGAAAAAAGTTCCATTTTTAAATTTTTATTTTTAATCATCAACTGCTTCTACTTTTTGAATCAATAAGTATTGTGGTTGATTAAGGAAGCATAAAAATACACACAACTGACAGCAATTGCCTCAGAAGAGTATAGATGAACTAGCTAATGGCAGAATTTTGCTGTGGGGAAAAAAAGTTACGAGAAATATCAATTCAGAGAAAAAAAGAGAGGATTGCTGTTTCTGATTCTAAGGAATCTAGTATTTGAGGAATGAGTGGTTAGGGCTTATGAACTGCCAAAGCAGCCTGCCAATTTTGCTAACTTGCCATACCCCAAATTTTGCTACCTGCCAGTGCTAAAACTTATTTCTAATGTGCTATTTCAGAGAAGTACTGTGAAAGAGCATTTTTGATTTTTTTCCATCATACAAACAGGCCTGAATGGACAAACATTAGCTAAATAGTAGTAAATGGGCTCGCACAGCTACACATAGTTGTGCGTGTTGTTGCTTCTTATTTTGGGGGGGAAATAACTGTTACTGAAGATAGTGAATGAAGCAGAAAATAGTAACTTCAGAAATTGCATGACAATTAATTCCTCAAAATAAGAGTCTGACATATTTACAGAGTCTTAGTTAGCATGAAGCAAAGATACAAATTCTTAAGACCAGGTCTTAGTATGTCTCCTTAACTTTAACAGAAATAAATAAAAAAGAAAAAATAATCTACAGTACAATATGTTTTAATAAACAGTCAGGAAAGACGTTTTCTGTAGTTTCTTAACACTGCTGGAAAACACTTTTCTTAAAAGCCATATACATTACATGAAACAAAATTTATAAATTTCCAAATTAACTTGATAATGGGATAGTAACAGCAGCATACTTTTCCTAGGGAAGGAGAAAAGACAAATAGACTGCCTTAATTTTCAAAACCATATTATTATATTAATTCACGTATGTAAAAGATGGACTGGTTGTTCCAGCAGTAATGTTCCAGTGGAACATGTTCGCTTTCTAATGGAGAGAGCTGGATACAGGAGATTGTAACAGAAACCATACGTGTCACGCAGAGGAAATAATTTTTACAGTGGAATACGTTATCAGGCATTTACTAAAATTTTTAGAAGCAACAAGCAAAATGAGTTTTGTGGTACCTTGCACATCTACAAAAATTCAGAGAAAGGACACTTATGACAAAAGTACCCTGAGCCACTGTTCAAATAACTCTTCAAAACATGCTCAGTCTGTTCCACTGCAGTATGCCATTTACCATCAAGACAAGGTGCACATGAAAAAGGAGAAATTAGAGAGGTAAAGGGTGGCTTTTGAGAAACACAGGTGTGGAAAAACCTGAAGACTCACTCTAGATAAGTTCCCTTTTGGAACCTGGTGCTAGGAAGGAAAGCTACTGTTTGATTCCTCGAAACTGCACTGTAAGGTACGTAGGTAGGAAGAAAGAGGAGTATCATGAGTTTTCATACTAACACAGCATGCAGGGTTAAATGTTTAGCTAACTTGTTTATCTAGAATTTCTATAATGCAGGCTGTGATCAACCAGAGTCTATGACATTGAGACTGCTCCATTTGCTATTTTTTATTTTCTTAATCTGATTGGGCCTCAGCCTAACTCATTTAATTTTTTGGCACAGAATTCCCTCAGGAGTAAGCTCAGAGGGACAGTGATAGTGCGCTGCTGTGCAATGTAGGACACCTAGGTTTCATTCCTGGCACTACATATTTAATTCTTCAAGTCAGCAGGGCTGAGAACGTGATGCAGAACAGTAACTCCCTAGACAGTTATGAAGCAGTAAGTAATAAAGAAACAAAGCAGACATGCACCAAAGGACATCTCATCCAGAACTTTTTGGCTAGAAAGGTGTAAGTCTCAGTGTGCTGAATTACAATAGGACAAAAAACAGGCAGGGAAAACCCTCAGAGAATTCTAAAAAAACCCATAGAAGAGGGAGGAATGGCTATTATAGCTGAACTCCCCAAACCACTGAAGCACAGAACTAACTTCCTGATGTATAACATGAATCCCACCCCGTCTCCAAAGTCCCTGACACACAAGAGCAGTCTTCCAAAGAGGTTATATGTAATGAAGTTCAAGAGAAGTTCCATTAAAATGAAGGAGTACAGGACACTCAACAGATTCTTGCAGTCATCATACAAACATTTTGCATTCTCCCCACTCACAAACACACTGTGTAGCTCTCTCTGCATACACGGAGTGCCAAGAGAATGCAAATATATAGTACACCAGGAAGTGGACTGTAATGTGCCACCTCTACACGCCTTTCTTCTTCTGTCCTCCAAATAAGCTCACTATCCATTAAGTCCCTCTTCAAACTCACTTAATCTGACTGCTTTCCCCATCAATAAATTGGGTATGTTTTGAATAGAAAAACTAAGTATTGCATCCGATAGGCTTCATCATTCAAATAATGCAGCTGATCGATACTGCTCTTACAAGTTAAGGTAAATGTGTTGTATACTGTGCAACAAGTAAAATGGTACAGGCACAGCAGTGTGGCTTTTGCTGGTTTTCTATTAAAAATGAGCACAACCAGAGCAACTCAGTTTAATAAAATACTACATATAATGACCCTCCTACAATTCTCTCTGAAATTCAAGATTAAAAAATTTAGAGCTAATTAGGACAATAAAAACCTCCCACTCACTGCGCTGTTCAAAGTGGTGCAGATTTCAGAGAAAAATTCTGCATATTTTGACTAACTTCTCTGCTGACTTCATAATAAAACAGAGCATTATTTATCTTGAGTGGTGGAAAGAGGATGTTACACTTTCAGGAAAATACAGGGGTAGCAAAGAGAGAATGGTATCAGCACATAACCAAAGCAGGAATGAACCTTTTATCAAATTGCCTTTATTCATGGTTTAAAATATGGGATGTTACCCCATCTTTGCTATGTCTTTTCTCATTTGCTTTACATAGGGCTACTTTAAACAGCCCTAACATGAAAAACAGCCAATTTTAAACTGAAAAATATTAACCTAACATAATGAAGGTGCCTCTCAGTTTTCTTAAGGCTGTATTTGATTTTACTGCTAACTCACTGTATAGCCCAAAAGGTGCATCAATGCACGTGTTTGACCCTTGTAATAATATATCTTCCCAAAAAAGAAAAAAAAATGAACTGTTAATAGAGTAATACAGTTCATACCCAAGCTACTGTCTCCTATTGGAAAGTTTCCTGTGGTTGATCATTTATATCATGCTTTAATGTATTTTTAGCCAGGGTTTTTTAGATGACAAACAGAATTCATGTCAAACTTTGAAACACTTTTCAAAAAAAAAAAAAAAAAGAATTTAATCCCTTATTTACCAAAAAAGTAACACACATAATTACTTGTCTACTCAGATAGGCGGCTTCTTCTTAATAAATAATAAATAATAATAATAATTTAAAAAGCTATCCTCACAGAAATATGCAGGTGAAAGTATCTGAAGATTAATCACTCTCAGATAACTAAACATGCTGCATCATTACCACATGCACTAGCCAGAAAAAAAGAGAACTGAAGTTATAGGACTCCAATTGCAGTAATCAACTACTTCTCATTAAGCCAATTTGGTTTCCGTTAGGGGTTTTTTTGTTTAAACCATAATTTTTACAATATGATATGAACATAATAAGCTTAGTGCAAGAAAGCACTTTCCACTGGTGTAAATTACTGCAGAGCGCATAAGTAACATATCACAGTGCACCATGGACTTGAGCCAGCTAATAAAGTGCTGGATGGAAAAATGGCCCAAGTCCATGAACTGTAAATATTGTATTGAAAGGAGGTGAAGGGGGAATAAAAAGAAGAACTTATTATTGTATTTATAACTAACGTTGGTTCCAGTTCTTGCGAAGAGCAAATAATTCCAGAGGTTTCCCAACAGATGTTCCAAGACTGGACAATCACACATCATGACCCCAAATAGTGAAGTATGCGAAGGCATAAATAGTCTATTATATTGCTGGCATAAGATCATGGGCCCCAAATGACTCTGCGATTGCACCCATTTAGCTGCCAAACTACCTGGTTTGCACTCACAATCAAGTACTTAAGCATCCAAACAGGTGCAAGTGTAAGTGCAATTAATTGGACATGCAATTTTTCATCCTCTTTAATTGCAAGAGCAAGACTGTGCTTGCAATATTAGCTTGAGATCTAGCTAAAAATCAGAACCTACGTTTCAAAAGTATTATAAAATATTGCATGTACAAGGCATCCCAATAAAATCAATGAAGTTAAGCATGTGCTTAAGTCTGGACAGAACGAGGCCTATATCTGTAAAAGCCCAAGTCCTGCTAGTGTACAACACTTTTTGTGTACTCATTTCAATAAAGAAATGTTTTTAAATAGCAGTCTGATGACTAAGGTTGTGGGAAAAGGGACTGAGACATAAGGAGGAAGGCACTGAGAAGAACAACAATTTAGACTCTAGTGGTTAGGCCACTAGCTTGGGACACAGGAGACCTGAGTTCAATTTCCTGATATGCCACTTACTTCCTGTGTGACCTTGGGCATATCATTTACTCTGTCTCTGTGCTTCAGTTATCCAGCTGTAAAATGGGGATAATAGTACTTCCTTACCTCACAGTATTATGAAGAGAAATACATTCTGAAGCATTCAGATATTATGGTAACGGGAGCTACACCTCTACCCCGATATAACGCTGTCCTCGGGAGCCAAAAAATCTTACCGCGTTATAGGTGAATCCGTGTTATATCGAACTTGCTTTGATCCGCCGGAGTGCGCAGCCCGGCCCCACCCCGGAGCACTGCTTTACCACGTTCTATCCAAATTCGTGTTATATCGGGTCGCGTTATATCGGGGTAGAGGTGTATTTAGGTATATGTAAGTGAAATAGACAGGGCCAGATTCTACTCTTGATTTCAGACGTATTAATCCTGAATATCTCTAGTGTAGATCCAGAATAATTCCACCGACTTCAATAGCATAACAAAGCCACGTTTGGCCCACAGTGCAAAATACATGAACAGGCTACTAAATGAAGTGTACCATTCACTCTTCTGATTTCTTATTCCCATAGTTTGGGAATAACCACCTACTATGTGATTGAATTCCCTGTTGATTCATCTTTGTGAAATGATGCTTAATAACTTTCTTCTAGTTTATTATTTTTTGACTTGGAGTTGATTTATATGCCCCCCTTTTCTGATTTTCTAGAATTTTCTTAATATAAAGCACAAATATTTATTTTGCCAATATTAACAAGATAGAAATGTAGGATACACACCCATTCTGTTTATCTGTCCATTAACACACCACCTTCCCCTAGAAGCAAGTGGACAAGTTAATGCCTACAAACATTTTGATTATTAGAGTTAAGTAATTTGGTTTGGGTTTTTTGTTTTGGTTTTTTAGGCACATGTTTGTCTCAAATAACACAGGGCTTATTAGAACATTGTAGAATAGACTTATCTGGTTATCTCAGCAGATTGTAAGCCTTTCAAGGCCAAGGATCTTCTCTTTTCAACGTAAGTTGAAAAATTTGTGACAGAAAGTGGTAAATGTATATCATTTCCAAAAAGTAACTAATTTTTCAGATGAACAAGTAGCATATTCACACACAATTGTGCAGGCAAAGTGATCACTTCGGAAGTGATTACTGCTGACCAGTAATGATTCACACAGGAGGTCAAATTCAGCTCTTAATTAAACCTCTGCAATCTCACTGAAGCCAATGAGATTGCAGAAGTATGACTGTCGGCAGAATTTGTCCCTATGCTTTCAGTGATTCAGATCTTGTTGACCTAGACAATTTATCAGCTATGCTCCATACAATCACACAAACCTTTTCATAGCCTTGTTTCAATATATTTTGGTGGCAAATGTCAATGTTTTGTTTCTAATTGAACTGGTTGCTGGAACACTAGTGGCTCCGACGTACAGACCTATTCAGTGCCTGTTTTACAGCTTATATTTTTAGGCTTTTAATCAATTAACCTGTTCAGATCTTGAGAACAGAGTATACAGTCAACAAGAGACATAGGGCTTCCTGCAGTGCCTGCTTTTCATGCTGAACAACAAATGCCAACAAAAAAAAAAAAAATCTGACATGTCAAAAAAAAAAAAAAAAAAAAAATGATGCATAACATTTATTGGAGACCTCTATTTTCTAAAATGAACCTTTGCAGACAGGGCTCTTCGAAGTCTCACTATGAAGTTACAGCATTTAGCTTTAACAATGTTTCTAGTGTTCTGGGGAACATGACTTACTTTTGGCACATCAATAGCCAACTCCCTCATGGCACTGGGCCTGACATCATTCATCCCCTGCAGGAAGTCATTGAGAGTAATCATCACTGACCCAGCCACCTCGCTGTCTAACAGGTTAGCTTGTTCTCCCAGTGCTCTCCGCAAAGCACACAAACCTACAAAGAAAACCAAACACATGTTGACTTCATCCTGTTTCCCACAAATACAGAACGTACAACACATACATGCACAAAAGATTGAAGCATTGGCAAGGAAATGATCTTTAAACAGAACGTCCCAACATCAGGCTCTGGCTAGTTCAAAGAACACAACAGATATTTTTGATGAAGGGGAAAGGGGATTCTTTGACCACATATACACGTAGAACAGATCAGCTTCAAGACAGAGAATGAAATAGCCATAATTCCCCGGAAAACCATTATAGGGTGGATGGGGAGGTGACAAGAAAAAACACTAGTTTAGGTCATTTTTATAGCCACTTTTTAGGAGGAAAAAAAATACAAATATCTAGCACAGATATTATATAGGAACCACCAATTCATGTAAGATTGGCTGTCTTGTCCATTCTCCTGCCAATGCAGGAATGGGCCCCAAGTGCTCTCTTTGCCTAATCTACTTTAATAGGATTTAAAGTGATGAGATTTTTGCTGCTTTCACTGAGAGCTTTCACTGTCTAATAAAACTTCAGCATAAGGAGGTTTTTCTTCATGTTCAATCCATTTTCCACATTATTCTTCATATTGTCTTGAACTACCATAAATAATGCCTCTCCTTCCACCGCGTTCATACCTTTCAAACAAACACTTATGGTTTCCCTGCTTCCCCCCGTTTAGCCAAACCATTCATACAACATTCCTACAGTCTTTCCCTATAACGCAGGCCCTCAGAAGCTCTGTTTCCCCCCCCCCTTCTCTGATTTATCAATATCTTTCTGGGTACAGAAGCACCCAGGAGGGCATGGATCAGCCTTCATGTCCCACTCCCCATCAGTACCTGGCCCAGACCAAGGAAGCCAATGATCTGAATTCAGTGATGAATCCTGGTCATGTGCTATCCGAGGCAAGCTGTGCATACGCTAAGTAGTAGTAGCCAGAACTAAACAGTGTTCTATATGGGATCTCACCATTCCATATGGAGAGGGACTGTCAACTCCTTTTCCTGTAAAGTGATACCTGACACTTTGCTGCCCAAAAGCACCTTAGCTTTCCTTCCCCTTTAGTTTGTTTCTTTCAAGATTTACTCCCATTTTGATCTTTCTGCCTCTATTTCCAAACTTGCTTTTGATACTATACATTTTACTGTATTAAAATAAATCTTGAATGTAATAGAATTTAACCGATGTAGCTTACAAAAATATGTGGTACCAGTTTGACATAAATGAGCCATGCAAACAGAGACAATTTTTTTTTTTCTATGCTTACGTGAAGAAAATGTCAATTAATGCTGCAAGAAAGCACAATAATAAGGGATAAGCTGTTTCTGAAATAAAAGTGACTTTACTATCAGAGGATTACTGTATATTTTCTATGGGAGCACTTATGAACTTGGACATACAAGATTTCTGACAATTACAGGAATTCTAAATTTCCTACAATATATGCAATGTGTGAATAGATCTAATATCTCCCCTGTGGATCAGTACAGCTGGTGTATCTCCATAAACTGCCAATTATTACAGAGCATGAACACCTGCGTTCAATACACAAGCTCTTTAATACAATAAAAAATGTTTGTAGTTCAGGTTTTACCCAAATGTGGAACATTTAGAACTAACAGGATACATAAATAAAAACATTCCATGAGGTCAAATAGGAAATTGCAAAGCTAGTTGCCAGAAGAGAAGTGAAAAATGCTACTGACTCACTTCAACATCACTAAAAGGATTTCAGAAGGGTTTTTTGTTTGTTTGTTTCTTTTTCCTTTTTCTCTCTCCTTCTATTATTATTTTTAAAAAGAACTATTACATAACAGGACATCATTTCAATCACACAAATTTGTAATTTCACAGCCACATGCGCAAGCAAAAACCACCACCACCAAATAGGTTAATCACACTATGTTATTGCAGTTATACGATTGATGAGTTTTTGTTTTATTTTTTTAATCCTATGTTTTGCATTTGATCTTAAGCATTTATGATGACTATTCACAAGGTATCAGTGATTTAAAATAAATGAACTTTCTCTCAAGCCGTGATTTATTATGTCATAAGAGAAAGGAAATAATTGATCCAGACCTCTGTTCTTCATTTATAAATATCCTTTCCATCAGCTACACATTTTGCCACAAAAGCCCATTTGATGAAGTTTGTAACTATATCATGGCTATCTTTTTCATTTTTAAAGGGATAAAAATGTCCAAAGGGGACACCATTCTTCTGTACGGCCACTGCCAGTGTAAAGTCAAGCTCTGCCCGAGCTGTTAATTGTATCAGAGTGACGTTTCAGTGATCAGTAGTGTGTGTGCAATGCAGCAGCTCTGATCCAGAACAGGGATAAAAAGGTCACAGCTCTCCAAACAAAGCCTGAATTCATTAAAGCACATGTGTGTACCTGCCAATACACAGGTCAGTATTTAATTGAAACAATGTTTTACATTTAAACAATAATAAAAAACAGATTGAAAATGAGAGCATTATTCTTCCTGTTTCCTCTTGTTATCATAATCATTCTTTCCTGCCCTTCCCACTGACTGCAGCCCAAAGGGCGGGGGGTGGGGGGGGGAGAGGGAGAAAGAGACTTCTTAACTAGGGAAGAATACAGCCAATGGCCTTCAGGGAGGGGGAAAAAAAACACATCCCAACTTTGAGCCATGGAAAACATATATTTAATGTAAGGAAATCTAAGGTAATATACACTGCCAGAAATTTTTTTTGCAAAATACCCGCACAGTGGTATCTGCAAGTTTCTTGCTATGGAGGTATAAAGTTTTGAACTCTTAATCCATGCCATTTTTAATAATGTATCCCAGAAAATACTGAACATTCAATATTTGCTCATCTGAAAGACCCATTTGGTCTCTGCAGATGAGCCTCTTCATAGGATTTGTCTAGCCCAGGGGTTCTCAAACTTCACTGCACTGTGACCCCATTCTGACAAAAAAATTACTACACAACTCCAGGAGGCAGGACCGAAGCATGAGCCTGCCCAAGCCCTGCCACCCCAGGTGTGGGGGGGGGAGGGGGCAAAGCCCTCATGCCCAGGGGAATGTTGCGGGTGGAGAGAGGAACCGAAGCCCAGGGGCTTCAGCCCCAGGCAGGGGGCCTATAATCTCAGCACCACTGCCCAAGGCTGAAGCCCTCAGGCTTCGGCCTCAGACAGTGGGGATCGGGCTTTGGCTTCGGCCCCTGGCCCCAGTAAGTCTAAGCCAGCCCTGGCGAACCCATTAAAATGGGGTCCCGACCCACAGTTTGAGAACCGCTGGTCTCGCCTGATTTGAGTCAGATAAAGTCTTTATCCTCTATTGTAAACTGGCTTTGAGAGCACATTTATGTATCAATTTTACTTGACCCTATTCAGACATCATCAATTTTCAGTGGATTAATGAGTAATCAGATTTTATTAATTCTGACTAATTAGGTGCCATTCCTGCAGCCCGCTCACAGACCTGTAACCCTTACTCATGTGAGTAATCCTGCTGAAGTAAAATAAAAAACAAAAACACAACAAAATTGAGTTAGCTTTCCAGGTAGTCAATAGGACTTCTTGCATAAGTAAGAGATACCTATTTTGAGTAAGGGTTCCAGGATTGGTCCCTAGCACTATACTCTATGCACAGTAGGGACTTAACTAGGTGGACGTAAAGGGAGTATATTCCATGGACAGGAACACGACTTCTCAAGCTTGGCATAAATGGAAAATTCTGAAATAAACTAAAAGAAACAAAAAACATATGAGTGTATGATATTCATCATAAAAAACAATGGAAAAAACAGTTTGTTCCACTCCCCAACATTGTGTGTTATCCCTCACAAATTCATCCTGTCTGTCTAAGGACAGAGGAAGGAAAGAGGACAGAGGAAACAAGCGGGTTGTACAATTTGTCATAGTACAGCTGCTTTCTTTTCTGTCCCTTACAAACTATGATGCAGGTAGCATTGTTTACCCTTAAGGTATTCTGGTTCATAGCTATGGTTAGATGTCAGCACATTACGATTGCACGTAGACGAGTGCAAGAATAAATACTCCCATATAGCTAAATTTTGTCAGTCTATGCTTATTACAAACTAACACAGAAAACAGAAATCATGCACTACATGAACACCCAACATATATGTACTATAGGTTCGACAGACTGAGAATACACAATATATGTGGAAATGGATGTGACAAAGTACATTTATCTTACTCCTTTGACAACCTAACTTCCAGTTTTTCCATTATCCCATCTCCCCTGGACTTGTTCTAACATTCCAAATCCAAGAATGGCTTCAAACAACAGTAATTTTAATTTTAAGTCAACTGGCAAAATAAGTGTTTCTTCTTTCCCTACCATTTTGAAGTTTCCCTACAAAATTGTAACAGCCCATAGCATAAGAGACCAACCATTCTGCCTTGCATCAGTAACATGTTTCAGCTGCAATACCTTGTTAGCCTGGAGGACTAGAAATTGGAGGTTTATATCATTTGGAGGGGCAAATTTTCAGGTTTGTAAAGGCACACACATGGAGCACTTGCTTCAGTTCTTCGAAGGCTGAAAGATATCCTATTTTAACATTCGGATAGTTTTATGTATTGAAAATCTATTTTAGAAATAAAATCATTACAATTTTTCACTCCTTTAGAGACCTGTACGTGTTAACTAAGGCACCTGATTTTACAGGTGAAGATAGCTTTTCTGTTACATACATGATACAAAAGTTTTATCAACACTCATGAATTATGACCATCATCCCTAATGAGTGATGACCAAATTTATGCCAAGATATATTTTATACCAAACCATCATACACTGTAGGTGTGTCTCTCTCACACATCTAAACCTAAACATACTGTACAGTCTCAACAACCAATGTCCAGAAGTGAAAAGATATTACAAAAGTAAGCAGCTGTCTGTTTACCTAACACAGGATTCCTGGCCTTTACACAGTAGGGATCACATCTTAATAGAGGGAGATTGTATATCTGTGAGACTCTCTCTCCTATTCACAATCACG